TATATATATATATATATATATATATATATATATATAATTTCTTTTTTTTTCCAGAAATTAATGTTTTTTTTCTGTTACACTACATGACATTTGTACAGTCCTTACATTACATACATACATACATACATAACATACACACACACACACACACACACACACACACACACACACACACACACACACGGCATTTTACAGCCTGAACTAACTTTGTCACATGTTCCGATATTTTAAAAGACTCATGTCTGGCTAATGATGCAAACAGAGCAATATTTTGAAAGCACCACAAAGCCACAGTGTTTGCACTCTTCTGTAAGTCAACATGCAGCTGACTGACTTACAGTCGCCTCATTGAACAGGAAGGAGAAAGTATTTTAGCACTGAAAAGTATACACTTAACTATTCAGATAAGGCTGAACCTTTTCTTTTAGGGGGGGGGGGGGGTGCATTGGCATTCTGGGCTTTTCATACGACTCCCATGACAACAGTGAACTTGATCCTCTCAAACCTCTGAGGGCCTCAGAGAACAACGAGAAGCTTGGAGATCTTGTGTTCTTGTGTAACACTGACCGTTGGACACAAATTCCTCAAGACACTCTTCACAGTCAGTGCTCCTCTACCACCAATTAAGCACAAAATAAAATATCCCAAAAGCCTGAAAAAAAAAAGCATTAAAAATCTGCCTCAAGAGTACCATGAATTGTGGGGATTATGTTTGACCTGCTTTCCAAGCAATATTACGAAGACATAAACAGCTTTGTCCTGACTTTTCTAAGCGTAATGTAAATTATAACACCTAAACTTCACAAAGCCACAGCATATTTAAGTAGGGGGGGGGGCACCAAGAGGCCAATGCTGTGGTGTCAGGCTGGTCAAACAAATGGAGCAATGTTTTTTTTGTGTGTGTGTGTCAGCGGTTGATGTATACATTTAAATATATTTAAAATTATTTATTTCACCATCCCAATATCAAATTTAGCATATGCATATATTTAACCAATTTGCTAAAATATTACACCTGTATTAAATATAACCATTATTATTATTATCATCAATAATAATGTTACTAACAACAAATATTAAAAATACTAATATAGAAGTTATATTTACAAATTAATTATACAAAATAGTATGTAGCCGTATTGTATATCAATAGGCCCTTTCGCACCGCTTTAGTTCCAGAACTAAACGTACGGTACTAAAGTACTGGGACGATTTTGCGTGAACTATTTCCCAGTACTATTTATAGGGTTGCATTCGCACTGACAGTGTGTACTAAGAAGTGACGCAAGCCGGTCGACAGCGACATAATTTGTGTGTGGCGTTCAACAACAGAAACAAAGAAAAACAACATTAACAACAGGAGGATGGAGGACGCTGTGATCGGAGCTGTGTTTTTGTTGTGTCTCGCGTGTTTCATAGTGGACATGGAAAGTCGACATATACGTAAAGCGATTGAAAGAACGGAAAGGAGGACTAAGAATCTCCAACGACAACTGGCAGTGCTACATTTGCTACAAGTGCCTGAACTTCAGCATCCGTCCATCTATCGCTGCTCTCCATGCTTGCGAAATAAGTTGACATGCTTACAGTATGTTTACACGGTGTTTTAAATCATGGCGGGTGAGGGCGTTTTCATACGCGTTTGGCCAATCAATGTCTACTTACGTCACGATTAGTACCAGTTGTGCTGGTTAGACCCTGCTCCGGAGTAGGAGCTAATTTGGTTCTCGAAAAAGGCAGTCCGGTACTAAAATCGCTCCCAGTTCCGGCGGTGCGAACACGCCGAAAAGTGGGTAGTTCCACAATTAGGTCTGGTACTATGAAAAGGTTCCTGCGGTGCGAAAGGCCCTAATGGGTACACACCTGGGTACACAACGATATAATAATTACATTATTTTAAAATATTTTTCTGTTCTTCACAGCCTTTGTATTGTCAAAAATGGCAACTACGCAATCAACTAGTATTCTAAAATGTAAAACACTTAGCTAGTTGTAAAGCAAAGTAATGTCACAGCACGTAATAGAGCAGCTCTGAAGCAGACGTGCTACCACCACCACCACACATCCTGACAATAGTACCATTTTCTTCCTCATTTCAAGGCAATTATGCCAACACCATTTCAACCAGACGCTTTTGGAAAAATCAGCATATGGCTCACATCCCTCCATTA